GAGATGCCAAGAAAACAAAATAACAATAATGATAAATAACATTTATGTAGCAATTTAAGGTTTGTAAAGCTTTTCACACATATTATCTCATTTTATCCTCATAACAGCCCTGTGAGTTAGGTACAAATATTATCTTCATTTTTGTGGATGAAGAATCTGAGGCTGGGAGAGGTTAAGTGACTTGACCGGCTTCACACAACTAGTAAGTGTATGAGGCAGGATTTATCTAAAGCCCTAGCCTAGTCCCTAAGAAGACAGGATCCAGAAGTTTTCAGTCTCCTTGGAGAGACAAAACACACTTAAGAAAAGACTTGGCAGAAGTTATGGAGCAATGAATCAATTGCTCTGAAACCTGATAGACTTCTGTGGTTCAGTCGTTCAGTCCTGTTTGACTCTTTGTGACCCTGTAAACCATAGCACACCAATACTGTCCATGGGATTTTTCTTGGCAAAGATACTGGAATAGTTTGCCATTTCCTTCTCTAGTGGATTCGGGCAAACAGAAGTTAAGTGACTTGCCCAGGATCACATAGCTAGTAAGTGTCTGACGCTGGATTTGAACTCAGGTCTTCCTGACTCTAGGCCCAGCACTCTATCCACTGAGTTATCTAGCTGCCCCCATTACAGACTTTAGCACTGAGTAAACGGGTGATTAAAATGTGGTTAGTACCCATTCTCAATATGGTTTCTTACACTAACAGTCCTTGGTTCAAAAAAGACATAGGAGGAACAGTTAATAGAACTGGAGAAGTTTAGCCTAGAGGAGGTGACTTGGAAGGGGAAATGATCACTATCTTTCAAACTTTTTTTTTCTTTTAGGTAATTGGGGTTAAATGACTTGTCCAGGGTCACACAGCTAGTCAGTGTCAAGTGTTTGGTCTGGGGCTGAATTTGAACTCAGGTCCTCCTGACTTCAGGGCCGGTGCTCTATCCACTGTGCCACCTAGCTACCCCTATCTTTCAAACTTTTAAAATTTAAATTATATAGTTTTTTTATATAACCTTGATTTTATCCCCTTCCCATCAAAAAGAATAAAAAAAGAGAAAAAAGCAATTTAATGAATTAGCCAATACACCAATATAGTATGACAATATATGTACCCGTAGTCTACCACCTTGGCAAAGAAGGGAGGGAGGTGCATATGCTTTCTGAAGCATCCATAGGTGTAATTTTGTCAGGGATTTCTTGCTTTGCTGCTCATTTAAACAAAGTATATTCTTGGGCAAATGGTTCATATTGGGAGGGGAAAAAGCCATCATGAGCCCAGAGCTAACTTCCACTCCCCAGCTCATGTTTTTGTCCTGAATGAATCTGTCTCCAAGGAGATAAGGGCTGTTGATAGTAACCCAAAATTTCAATATAAATTTCATGTTGCACAGTTCCCAAAGAGCAAATTGTTAAATAATCAGGCCGTATTTCTCAAGTTTTTCAGCTACTGCTCCCTTGAATGTCTCCTCTATTAAGGTGAATATACTGTTTCCCTGATCATTTTTCCTCTTCATGCTTATTGGATGATGGAGGAGCAGCCCTGGATTTTCAATTAGAAGAACAAAAGACAAACCAGATCACTTGGTCATCCTCTAAGCCAGATGGTAGGGACAGGAATGATTTGGAATGGTTTAAGGAAACTCATGTGCTTTTTGGTATTTCCATCCAGGCACAGGGAACATCTGTCTCTGTAGCTTTCCCTGAGGAGCCCAAATTCACCGTATCACCATTTTGGAATGTGGCAGAAGTGGCTCCTGAAGGCTTTGAAACCTTTCAGGGATATTAGTACCAATGGTAGCCATTGGTCACACAGCACAGTTTCAGTAAATCAGGCCCTCTCTACACAGAAGCTCCTCTGTTTTTAGCAAATGGATTCTTACCACCATACTCAATACTTTCCATCAGGGCTGCCCCTAGTGGGGAATGGGGCACAAAGCCATGTCCAGAGAGGCGAACTTGGAGCAAATTATACTATGCCTCCCTTCATCCACTCACCTTACCCTTTCCCACACACTTTCCATCATGTGAATCCAGTTGAAAAAGAATTTCAAGGGCAGCCTTGGAGGGGAAAAGACATCATAAGATATACCTGGAGGGATTTGTTTGACATTCAAGACCTCCTCCTATCTGGTCCTAGCACATGAAGTTCTAGACTTGATGCAGACTTTTAAGTTGCTCATTTTTTGTTGTTATTTGCAGTTTTCCAACATTACTTTGTCTTTGGGCATATTGTTTTAAAGCATGATTGCATGTCTTGGAATCTAATCACCTAAAAGGCAACTGCAATGAAGTTCATGACAAAAATGGTCACGCAGGCAGTGAAACCTTTAGTAAATAATGCAGGGTACTGTCTTCACAGGCAGCTAGGTAGCACAGTGGATAGAATGCCAGGCCTGGAGTCAGGAAGACCTGAATTCATATCTGGTCTCAGACATTTACTAGATATGTGACCCTAGGCAAGTCACTTAATCTTGTTTGCCTCAGTTTTCTCATCTATAAAATGAACTGGAGAGGAAATTGGCAAACTACTCCAGCATCCTTGCCAAGAAATATCCAAAAAGGGGTCACAAGACATCACTGAAAATGACTAAACAACAACTGCCTTCACATTCATTCTATATGTATTTGTATAAGTGTACTCACCAATATATATTTGGTTATGTGTACAAAAATCTTTCCAAGGCTAAATGGTAAGGGAAGCTAGGTTGTGTAATTCTGTGTTGACTGACCGGTAGGACATTACCTAGAAGAAGATATTTTCGTGACAAAAGTGGTTTCTCTGTTTACAAAACCTCCCACAACAAAATGCTGGTACATTTGTTCTTATGACCATGTTGATACATCATTCCCAATTTCATTTCTATGGCTTTTTTCTTTTTGGCCAGCTATGCTCAAATGAGAGGTATGTTTTAAAAAAATAAGCAATCCTATTTACAAAGTGATTAAATGTGAAAAGAGTGATGGACTTGGGGACAGGAGGTCTTGGGTTCAGAAACAACTTTTATACTGTGTGACAATGAGCACCTTATTTAACTTCTTTATAGGGTCCTTAATCATATGACAAATGAGATGATGTTTGTCAAAGGCTTTTAAACTCTAAAGTGCTATGTAAATATCAGCTATCACTATTATAATTTTGAATAACTTTTGAAGAATAAGGAAGCAGATTTGCTGGTGGCTACAAGAGGCTGCTGAAAGATGAAAAAAAAAAAAAACCAACACACTGAATTTGGAGTCAAAGGACCTAGGACCAAATTCTAGCTTTTCTACTTGCTACCTGTGACTTTAGACAAATCACTTTATTGCCCAGTTTCCTAACCTGTAAAACAAATGGATTGGATCAGATGATTGACTCTTACAGCTCTAAAGCTCTCAGTCTTTCAAAGGATTATTTCTCCAAGGACAGAGGAAGGCTTTCTCCCCTGTGTGCCTACTTAAAATTACATTACTTTAGCAGTTCTGTATGAAAAAGGAGATTTGGGTGTTTTATATTTTGTATGTGAATTATATACAAGAAAACTCATATAGCATCATTACTTACTTTTGTAGTGCAAAGTTGTTGGAGTCACTTTCTTTGGTCCTTAATTTTATCTATGGAATGATGGGATTGGAGATTATCACTAGGGTCCTTCATAATTCTAAGCCCTGATCCTAGGTATTCTTATCAAGATTTCACCTCATGAATGAGAAGTTTTCATGGTTCCCACACTTCAAAGTATGGGAATGGGCAGCAAACCTGGTGAGTTATATAGGAGAGCCACCACTCCAGCACATACACTGGATGTGTCTTACTGTCCCTATTTTGGGCTCTTCCTGCTTTGCAGTTATTCAGTGTGGTATATACTCTTGGTGATGGCCTACCAGTGTATAGTGCTACCCATGTTTACAAAAGACAACCATTAAAAAACAATTTCCAAAAGGCATCCTATGTTCCATCCTATATTCATGATAGCCTATTTACTCCCAAATGGAAGAACTGAACTCAAGACTTTCCCCTCTTTTCCCATTGTCTGATACCTTTGGTACAGGTATATGAGCAATTAGTAGGAAGTCAGAGTAGGGGAGGCAACCATTTCATTCCTCAGATTTTCTTGGCAACATCTTTTGGACCAGTACTCTCTCCTTACCACCATTTTTGCAGCTTGTCTACTTAAGATAACTCACTTTACCTTTGACCCCAGAAACTCAGCTCCCTGGCACATAGAATTCTGTTTGCTGTGTTCTGCTGCTGAGGCCAACCTGTCCGGAGTAGCCTTTGTACTCAGCAGCCACCTCCCAATGGGAATTAGTTGTTCCCAATAGTGGCTGTACACCTGCACACCTTTCATCTTCTTGCCACTTGCTCCAGAGGACACTTGCTATGCCTGTTACAAGAACTGGAGATCATAGCTCATCCAAATCAATGAGTTCACTAATAGTAAATAGCTCTACTGAGGCACAGCTGTTGCTGAATGATTTTTTTTGGGGGGGGTGGAAGGGGGGCGGAGAAAGGGACGAGGATATGGTGAGGAGGGTCGGTACATAACATACCATCTTATCTGGAACCCCTAAATTATCCAGATCCTTTTTTATTTTTTCAGAGAATGCACAACTCTAACACAGGGGTTGAATATTAACTCTGAAAAGGTTAAGGAAAGAAACACACACAAGAATCAGACAAAGGAGAGCTGGAGTTTAGTGTATATCCACCTTTTTTTTTCCTCCAACAGGTTTATTTTTAAAATAAGGAACTGGATTTTTTTTTGGGGGGGGGTTGAAGACGGGTTAAGGATGGGGTATGGAATAGAAAACAAATACAAATATAAACCGTTTTGCTAACTGTTTTATAACCACAATGAACTAGTACAGAGGAGGCCCTATACAACAACACAACAAAGGCTCAAAGATCGAGATGTTCCCGCGGCAAGGCTGAAGTTTTAGTCTCTGGGATGGGATTTGGAATTTAGGCCGCAGTCCTTGTGATCGGATGGATGGATGGATGGATGGCTGAGGAGGTGGCACAGTCTGTGTTCTAACCAGACTTGAAGAGCAGAATGGCGACCTGGCCCATGTAGAAGTAGATGAAGTGCTTCGTCTCATGCGTCACATAACTGCCGAAATTCCTCCCCACGATGCAGTGCCAAGTGGGGTTGTACTTCTTGTCGAACTCTTTCTTGATGTGGGCCGCGATGTCCTTCTCGATGTTGTACTTCTCCAGGGCCTGAGTAGCGCACTCCACCGAGTCCTGCTGCATCTCCTCCGACATGTCTGCGTTCTTGATCACGGCCTTGCGGTCAGACATGGCGACCCTTCCTCAACCACTTCGAGCGAGGGCTGAAAACCTGGAGCAGGCCCCGCGAGGCGTCAGGAACGGAAGGCCTTGCTTCTGGAGCGATTCACCCACCGTGGCAGGCCGGGGGGGAGCGGGGTATGGACCTGGTGGACTTTTGAGGGGCGCTTCTACAAGGACAACCGCATCGGGCTCAGCGACCTCAGGAACCGCTGCGGCCTGGCCCCCTTCGTCTTCGTGCGCGTCGAGGACCCCCGTTGAGGCGCCACGCGCACGAGCTCCCACAGTGCCCCGCGCGCCGCCACTCTCCTCTGCGCGTGCTTGCCTCCGCCCCTCCCTGACTAGCCAGCGGACTCCCACCGTGCCCCACGCGCCGCCGCCCTCTCCCCTCCCTGCTGCCCCCATGGTGCCCCGCCCCCAACACCTCCGTTGGTCCCAATCCTTCCTGGCTCTCCACGCCGTTACCCCGCCCCTTCCTGTCCCGCCCCTCCTCCCTGCCACTGGCTCCTCCTCCGCGTGCTGTTGGCCCCGCCTCGCGCTCTCCCTGCAAACCCCCACAAAGCCTTTCGGGCCTCAACATCCTTTTCCCACACACCACTTACTGCTAGTGTACTGACCTGAGTCCTGATGACTCACAATCAGTCACGGCGGTGCAAGCAGTCATTCAGTAAAGCCGTGACTACAGCGGGCCAAAGGAGATTATCTCAGGAACACTGAGAAGGCGTTTGTCACATCCCTTTGGTCCGAAGGACTTAGTGACAGACACAAAGCCAAAGCAAACGGTTTCACTCCCTTCCCCTCCAACAGAAATCCTGACGATACTTTAACAAATGAGACAATCTGCTCTTGTGGAAAGAGCCCCAGAGTTAGAGGATCTGGGTTTTAGCACCTCATTCGCTGTGTGACCTTGGGCAAGTCACTTCCCCCCTAGCCCCGAGTTTCCTCACGTGATGGGGTTGAACTGGATGAACTCTAAGGTCCTTCCAAATAGAATTTTAAAGAAAGATTCCAGATGGAGAGAAACAGCAACAGGGCCTCTGGCCTAAGGAGTTTTAGTTCAGCAGCTCTGTTGAAGTCACTCGAGATGACTGCCCCAGCTTTTCATATAAAAAAAAAAAAAGTTAAGTATGGTTAAGGCCAGGATGACAAGAGTTGCAGAATATCCAGCGTACTACATACAGCTAAATAAAAAATAGAAGCAGGGTAGATCAAACCCTAAGTCAGATGGAGACTTTGATGGAAATCCAGAGGATCAGCAGGGTGAGGTGCAAAGACACCTAAGTGCCTTGGGACTGCTCTGCTTAGTTGGCTGGTTGGTGTGTGTTCCCAAAGAGCCTGGCCTCTGGAGGTATAGGTTCTTGCTGCTGAGAAAAAGCCAACTGCTGCCGAGGCCCTGGGAACTAAGCTGGGGAGAAAAGCAGATGAGAGTCTTTCCCCCTCCTCCCATAATGATTGTGTGAAGGCCTTACTTCCCTGGAAGAGTAGAAGCGTAAGTTTTAGGGCTCTGCTAAAAGAAAGGTGGTGGAGGTCTCTCTTCCTTTTGGGAAGAGATATCACTTTATCTAAGAACTTTGGTTGCAAGCAGAAGCTAGACCATTGCCTAGCCAGCACCATGAGACTCGAGGAACATCTGATAGGAGAATACACATTAGGTGAGATCACTGGGGATCAAGTCTAGGAAGCCTCTTGATAGCATTTGTGGCCCTGCTGTGATGGAGATGTGAGTTGCCTTCTCTGTGTGCTAGGGTTGAGTTTCCTACAGAAAAGTAATCCCAGGTTAGAAGTATTGCTCTTTCATTGTTTGGTGTTTTTGTTTTTGCTTTTTTTTTTTCTCCAGTCAATTTCCTCTCCCCAAATAGATGGTCAAGTCTTTGAGGACAGGGACCATACATAACTTTAGCCATATTTTTAACCCCCTCCCTTAGCACAATAACAGTAAGACAGTAAATGCTTGGTGCTTTGATTTGAATACTGAAATGTCCTGCACAGCCACAAGCAAAGAGCAAATACCACATGCTCAACCTACATCCTGCATTTATTCCTTGGGTAAATTCTTGGTTTCTTTAGCAAGAATTTTCTGATAGCAGCCAGCTTTAGGTTAGTAGTTAAAATCAAACTCTGTCTTCTTGGGAGTGGTCAGGACAATACTGAAGAGAATAGAAACACCCAGTGAGGGCAAAGGAATGTGGAAAGATACAAGAGATAGCCTAAGGGATTCAACCTGACAAAATCTTTTTGGGACCCAGAGCCTATCTGATTCATGTTAGTAATGCTCCTTCTGTGACCTCTACCTTGCCATTATCCTTGCTTTCTGCAAGTTTAGTCACTTTGTAAAATACTCCTTTCTCCTTCTCCCTTCCACATTGATTCTCCACAGAAGAGTGGAGCTTATTATTAGACTGGTAGTTTTTATAAGTAAAATACTTTAACACTATCACTTTTACTTGTTATAGAAAAGTTGTATTTTTATGGTCTGGCTCAAGACCAAGGCCATTCCACAAAAATGGATTTTCCAGAAAAAAAATGGAAATTTTTTTTCTCCAATAAGAATTTTGTGGGGAAAAAAATGTACCTTGTTTAAATAGACAGGAGATAAAACATGCAACTATTACCCTTTCCCTGCTCCTCATCCTCCTAATTTACCCACCTTTTCTTTTTTATTAATGAATTAAAATTCAGAAGCATTTAAAAGGGAAATAATTATGAAATTGACTGGACACAACCTAAAAAATGCCACATAAGTTTCATAAGCACTATTTAAATATTCTTTCCAATCTCATTCATTCATAAGGCTGACATTTCTATGAAAATGATATTTTACTTGACCTCCTTTGGAAACTCACAGATACTCAAAATGCTGTTTTCAGCCAAGACTCCTAGGGCCCTCATGGAAACTGTAGACTTTTTGGCATAGGTCTGAGTGAAAACATACCTTTACCTAACTTCAATTGGTAAAAGCTTTTTACATATGAAAAAGGACAAAATATTGAACGTATCAGAAAGGTGCATTTTCTAGCTTTCCAGACATTTTGCTGCCTAGAAGATTCTTTCTTTAGGAGGCCCATATGCACCATCAAGTTAGAGCATTTCTGTTGGCATCTCCATTTTTATCGATCTTAAAGGGGAAACATTGCTATGGGGGGGAGCCTTCTCATGGAGCTTCTAATCTAATACAGTGATAATGCATCAAAACAAATATCTGTGTAACAGCTTGCTGGTCCCAGGAGGGCTGGGTCATAACACTTACCTTTTTCTACTAAGAAGCAACTAGTTTTGAATGTGTATATGCCAATCAGGTTTAGTTCTGTGGGTGCCTGGCCCCTACACGGATGGGTTAGGCTCTTTTTCTTGAACTTTGGTTTGTTATATCCCCACCCCAGAGACCCAAGGAGAGTCACAAAGCTTAGGATTGATTGGCTCATGTCTAAGGTCTCCCCAAAAGGAAGTAGAAAGATACTCAAAGTACACCATAGAACAATTATTAGGGTGGTTACCTTTTTCTTCCACAGAAAGGAAATGATAAAAAAAAAAACAAAAGACAAGCATTCATTGACGAAATTTTAAATATGAAGCAGTAACTTAAAACATAGGTTGATACTTAAGACATCAAAATGTGAAGCATTTTGTGAGGACTGCTGCATCCACACTTTATGCTGACTTGGCTCTGTGTCTTTCAAACAGTTCTCTCTAGGCCCATGTCTTCTGGCAAACCAGGCTGGAACTTGAGCTCATCCTCCTACTGGCGGTCATTTCTGAGAAGTTCTTTAGTAGATGTAAGACTTTCAACCAGCACCAGCTAAGGAGCCCAGGAATTTTCAACCTCTCAAACTCACAGGTTTGCCTCTAAAGCTGGAAATGTTCATCTCAAAGTCACTATTCAGTCATCTGTGCTTAGGGAAAGAAAAATGAAACAGTAGAGGTCCCAAGCAGCCCAAACTCAAACTCACCTAGCTAAGCCCCTGCTATGGCTGCCCTGATTGAATGGTGGCTATTTCTGCTGGGTTAGGGGAAGGGGCCCCTCTACCACTCCTCATGTGAAATACTAGAGAGGATATACTTGTTCCATGCGATATGTTCCAGAGAGGGAAAGGGAAAAGGAGCCAGAGCACAGAGTTACTTCCTGGTTTAATGAGTGGTTAATGCTCACTGACACACTTTTGAAGTGATGCCTCACTTGTCCCCCTCTGTCTTAAAACTATAACAGGGGAACCAAGGGAACTCCTAGTGCTTTTAGTGACAACCCAAAGTGCCAAGTCCTTTAGAGATGAGCACATACTCCTGGAAATGGCTAGACTGTGATCCTAAATTAATGTAATGCTAAATTAATTGATCAATATATTGAGAAAGTTGGGAGAATTACCTGGAGGTTAGTCCATGATAGCAACAAGGATCAATCAGTCAACTAACAGCCAGCACTTACTAAGCATCTATTCTGTGCCAAGTATTGTGCTTAGACACTGGGATTCAAAGAGAGAAATGATGGGGAAAACAACACATGCATATATAAATATATATGAAATAAATACAAAATAAACATTGTGGAGGGGGAGAAGGAAACAAAAGGAACTGGGAGAAACAGGAAAGGCTTCATTGTTGCTCCTGAACAGAGGTTTAAAGGGAAATGGGAATTCTAAGAGGTGGAGGAAGAGGAAGGGAGTGCAGTTTAGGCATGTTGAATAATCAGTACAAAGGAGTTGAAATCGAGATGGAGTGTTGTAAAAGAAGGGCAAGAAGTCCAGTTTTGGTTGGACTGCAAAGTGTGGGAAAGGGAGTCAATATATTACTAAGGTTGAAAAGGTAGGTTGAGGCCAGATTGGGAAGGGCTTTAAAAGGAAAAAAGAGGAACTTATATTGATTCTGGGTACAATAGGGAACAACTGGATTTTATTAAGCAGTTAAATGACATGGTCAAACCTGCTCACTCTTTAGGAAAAACACTTTGGCAACGTGTATAAGGTGGATTGAAAAGAGGTTGAGGGAAGGCAGTGTAAATAATGTTTTAATAATAATGA